GAGGCGTCCTTTTATTTGTGGTGGGACACCGCTCAAGGGGGGTAGCCTTTCTGAGCTCCCAAAAACAGCGTTTTTTGAATTAGATTTTAATTAGAAATCGATCATTTGGGGCAATTTGGGGGATTTTTTTTTTCAAATTTGGCGTATTGAAATTGCAACATTGCAAATCTATATATGAGTGACGATCAAAACCCCCGCAGAGGAGTTTTAATTTTATACAAACGTATGATTGGAGTATGTTGTTGTAAATTTGTAGTGCGTTTTGCCTTGGAGGCGCAAGAAAGCGCAAGGGCGGGCGCAAGATATATTAATATCGTTGTTCTTTTCTGTATCAGTGAACATCTGCTGCTGTAGCGGCTCAGAGTTGGTAGGCAGGACAGACGGAACCATGTGGGACGTGAAGACCAATCTGACCAGCAGCGCCATGAGCGCTTGCAGTTATCTTGAACTGTTTTAAAGGTTTTCCCAGGGAGATAAATCGAGTTACTATTTTTTCTTCTTTTCAAGGCTTGCTTTACAGCCAAGTCTAGCGCCATGTAAGCGCAAGGTTGTCTTTAGGTCGTTTCGCCATGTTGGACAGGGCTCGCTACAAGACTTTTGAAGTAGCATTTTAGCAGCTCAACAGCTGGTGGTTACGTACAAGAAAGGCGAAGGAACACGCCAAATCAAATTTCAAGAGGTATGGTAGAAGGAGAGTGTATACACAGAGAAAGCTTGATTCCCAAAACGGCCCTTTCGAGCCGAAAAGCAGCTTTACGGGAATCAAATTTCAAGAGGTATGGTAAAAGGCAAATGTAAACACATAGGAAATTTGATTCCCAAAACGGCCCTTTTGAGCCAGAAAGAAGCTTTACGGGAATCAAATTTCAAGAGGTATGGTAAAAGGCAAATGTAAACACATAGGAAATTTGATTCCCAAAACGGCCCTTCTGAGCCAGAAAGAAGCTTTACGGGAATCAAATTTCAAGAGGTATGGTAAAAGGCAAATGTAAACACATAGGAAATTTGATTCCCAAAACGGCCCTTTTGAGCCAGAAAGAAGCTTTACGGGAATCAAATTTCAAGAGGTATGGTAGATGTATGGTAGAGATGGCAGCGGAACCTGCAGAGCTCTTCAGAATCTTCAACTTCTGAAATTTCGAGCTCCGAATCATCAGATTCTGCTTCCGAAGGCTAAAAAAGTCTGCGTTGCACAGCGTACTGGATCAGTGAACACCTCCTTGAATTTAGCAACTTTTTGCGGCAATCAATTCTTAAATACATATTTTCATCTATGTAATGGAACACAATAAAAACCCTGAAGAGCGCAAGGAAGCGCAAGGGCGGGCGCAAGGTCATTTCTAATAACACACCGGCCCGATCAACCCCCCATATAATACTTGCGAGGTGGATGAGGAAAGATCAGGCAATGTTGATGTAGTTGTTGAATTAAATCATTGCTCAATTGATTGCAATCTGAAGCACGCAATAGAAAAAAACTTATCGCGGCTGGGTGGGGTATGGTGGGGTTTACTAATTGGGGGGGGCGTCCTTGTATTTGTGGGGGTGACACCGCTCAAGGGGGGTAGCCTTTCTGAGCTCCCAAAAAGCATTTTTTTAATTAGATTCTAATTAGAAATCGATCATTTGGGGCAATTTGGGGGATGTTTTTTTTTCAAATTTGGCGTCTTGAAATTGCCACATTGCAAAAGCATACTTGCGTGGTGGGTGAGGAAAGATCAGGCAATGTTGATGTAGTTGTTGAATTAATTCATTGCTTAATTGATTGCAATCTGAAGCACGCATATAAAAAACTCATCGCAGCTGGGTGGTGTTTACTAATTGGGGGGGCGTCCTTTTATTTGTGGGGGGACACCGCTCAAGGGGGGTAGCCTTTCTGAGCTCCCAAAAACAGCATTTTTTGAATTAGATTTTAATTAGCAATCGATCATTTGGGGGATGCGTTTTTTTTTCCAGTTTTGGCGTCTTGAAATTGCCACATTGCAAAAGTATATTTGCGAGGTCGATGAGGAAAGTTCATGAAAGATCAGGCAATGTTGATGTAGTTGTTGAATTAATGGCCCAATTGATTGCAATTCCACAAAAAACATCTGAAACCAGTGTGTTTGGCAATAGCGCGGCTTCGACCTACTGAAAGCACAGCTCTTGCAATGAAAGAAAGTCACCTCTTCCCAACATGATGAGCCAACCCACAAAAAATCTCTGAAACCAGTGTGTTTGGCGATAGCGCGGCTTCGACCTACTGAAAGCACAGCTCTTGCAATGAAAGAGAGTCACATCTTCCCAACATGATGAGCCAACCCACAAAAAACATCTGAAACCATTGTGTTTGGAAATAGTGCGGCTTCGACGTACTGAAAGCACAACTCTTGCAATGAAAGAGGGCCACCTCTTCCCAACATGATGAGCCAACCCACAAAAAAAATCTCTGAATGCACAGCTCTTGCAATGAAAGAAAGCCACCGTGAAATAATTAGAGGCAATGTCTAGAATCAGGCAAAGGTAGCTAACATAACAGCAAGAGATCGGCAGAGAAAGAAGCACAACACGCAAGCATTCAAGCCAGCTGCGTGCCACCCCTGGGCTGCAGGACGCACCCTTCGGGAATCGAACCCGGGTCAAATGGCCCAAAGCCTATTCTACACCACTAAGCCACGGGGGCTTGCCCTAAATGGCAAAAAAAGGCCCTATAGAACCAGTGACTGGGCCTGGAAGGGGTTTGCCGGAATCAAAAACACAATGCGCAACACCCCCCCTAACCCCCCAACCAAACCCCCAATTAATGAAACCCCCCAAACCGTCCCCAACCCTTTGGCAACGGCCTCCAGCTCACGAAAGGCTCTTGCAACGATAAAAAGTCACCTCTTCCCATCATCATGAGCCAAAAACGTCTGAAACCAGCTAATGAAAGCACAGCTCTTGCAATGAAAGAAAGTCACCTCTTCCCAACATGATGAGCCAACCCACAAAAAACATCTGAAACCACTGTGTTTGGCGATAGCGCGGCTTCGACCTACTGAAAGCACAGCTCTTGCAATGAAAGAGAGTCACCTCTTCCCAACATGATGAGCCAACCCACAAAAAACATTTGAAACCAGTGTGTTTGGCAATAGCGCGGCTTCGACCTAATGAAAGCACAGCTCTTGCAATGAAAGAGAGTCACCTCTTCCCAACATGATGAGCCAACCCACAAAAAACATCTGAAACCACTGTGTTTGGAAATAGTGCGGCTTCGACGTACTGAAAACACAGCTCTTGCAATGAAAGAGAGCCATCTCTTCCCAACATGATGAGCCAACCCACAAAAAAACATTTGAAACCAGTGTGTTTGGAAATAGTGCGGCTTCGACCTACTGAAAGCACAGCCCCTGCACTAATAGAGGGTGCCTTCAAGATACCCTCTTAATTTTGGTTGTGGCTTATCCGGATCCACTTGTATATGTGCATATCAAATTACGTCGCCGTCGTCGTCGTCGTAGTAGTAGTAGTAGTATAGCCGTAGTCGCAGTAGCAGCAGTAGCAGTAGTAATAGCAGTAGTGGTAGTAGCAGTAGTAGCAGTAGTAGTAGTAGTAGTAGTAGCAGCAGCAGTAGCAGCAGCAGTAGTGGTAGTAGTAGTGGCAGTAGTAAAAAAAAAGTGCAACGTTGCAAAAGCATACTTGCGAGGTGGATGAGGAAAGATCAGATTCCTATCAGAAAAGATAAGCAAACCTATGGTAAACCATCAGATTCCTATGAGGGAAGATTCGAAAATGAATGGTAAACCATGAGATTCCTATGAGAAAAGATTTGAAAACCTATGGTAAACCATCAAATTCTTATGAGAAAAGATCAGAAAACCTGTGGTAAACCATCAAATTCCTATGAGGGAAGATGGGGAAACCACGTAGAAACCATCAAATTCCTATGAGGGAAGATTCGAAAATGAATGGTAAGCCATCAAATTCCCATGAGAAAAGATCAGAAAACCTTTGACAAACCATCAAATTCCTATGAGGGAAGATGAGGAAACCACGTAGAAACCATCAAATTCCTATGAGGGAAGATTCGAAAATGAATGGTAAGCCATGAGATTCCTATGAGAAAAGATCAGAAAACCTATGGTAAACCATCAAATTCCAATGAGAAAAGATCAGAAAACCTGTGGTAAACAATCAAATTCCTATGAGGGAAGATGAGGAAACCACGTAGAAACCATCAAATTCCTATGAGGGAAGATTCGAAAAAGAATGGTAAATCATGAGATTCATATGAGAAAAGATAAGAATACCTATGGTAAACCAAAATAGGAAGTAACCCTGGAAATTGTATTCCGAATTCCAAAGTAAAGGAATAATAGCAAATTAGTCCCACCAAAAAATTTGGGGATCCCGGAGGGGTATGATTAATTAGGGTGGGTTTTAGTGTTATTAGGGGGGAAAACAGCACCTAATTGACTTTAGTATTGTCCCAAAATTTCCGGCGAGAACGGGTATGATTAATTCGGTGGTTTTATTAATCCTACGTTGACATTAAATTGTTATTCAAGTATTGTTTTAATTATTGCATACTTAATATAATATATATATAAAAATAGAGCTCATGACATAGTCTGTAAATCATTCATACTGTAAAGCATGTTTGCTTTTGACCCCCGCGTAAGTAAGTCATTTTACCTGTTTTTTCAGCCTGTGATTTGATGAACTGTTATCATTTATCCAGAATCAATCTCCTTTTCCCAGCATTGCCCCGAGGTAAATTTCAAAAACATATCTTCAGGAATCCTCCTGTTTTTGGCGAAAACATGATGCTTTCATACGTATGGTTTCCTGCAAGGTGGTGCCCCATGGTTAGCCAAGTTGGTTTATATCTCCAACTAGGCTTTATGGTAGATATATGGTAGATATATCTCTATAGTTCCTATGGCTTACAAACATTACAAACCAACGAAGTGCCATCACATGGAGGGCACCAGACCAAACGTGGCCTTGTGGCCTTCACGCCTCCCAGCCACGCTTTCCAGGACAAGAGAAATTGAGACAACAGCCCGACTTCTCCAAAACCCGCCTCTGCGCCGATTTCATGGAGTTGGGCTCTTGTGCTGAAGGTGCCGTTTTGCAAAACAACATCAACCGGTTTGACCGGTGATTTTTCGAGTATTTTATGGTGATTAAAAATGGCAATTGAATGGAAAACTTTATAGTGGTTTGATGGTGATTCATAATGATTGAGAATGGGATTTGATGGTGATTTAATCCTGATCGAATAGGATTTTAGAGTGATTTGATGGTATTTAATAGTGATTGGGGAGGCACCGTGTGGTGCAAATTCAGAAACATCATTGATCTATGACACATTCCACGCGACACCAATACTCCCGGCTCCAAGATAGTAATGGGCACCGTGGCTATAAATTGTTTTGCGCCCTTAGTGGTGAATGTTTATCATTTCAGACTTCAATTAATCTGCATTCCTTTCCTGATTTGTTCCTCAAAGGATTTGCGACCACATGAAAACATCAAAAAGGCATATATGTCAACCTTCGCACAAATCATTGCACAACTTTCATGGCTCATTTGATGTCATTTCCCACGGCAATATGGGCACCATTGGGTACCCATGGATCCCACCGCTAGTTCAGCTTATGGAACATGGCCCAGATAGATGAGTCCAATCATCGTAGGAGAATCCATAGGTCATGTTCCGTCCCTTGGCCCCCGCAGTTCTGTTTGTTGGTGTGAAACCCACCCTTTTCCCCTGCACACTAACCCTGCAAATGCCTCGAAAAATTGACTAAGATACCCATGATTTTCAGACTCCTATTTTAGGGCTACATAAACCCAACAGTCAGAGCTACATAAAAACCATGGTTCTATGTTATGTTATGTTTCACCAGCAGTTATGTTTCCTCAACATTTCACCAACGAAGCCAGCGGCGAGCTACCGACCTGGATCCTAGCATGTCAACCAGTATTTACTTTTAATCACTATTAATCATTATTATATAATCACGTTTATTCACCATTAATTACCCTAAAGCCCCATTCAATCAGTATTAAATCACCATGAAATCCCATTCTCAATCACTATGAATCACCATCAAACCTAGCTATGAAGTTCCATTTTTAATCACCATAAAATCCCGAAAACTCACGAAAAATACTGGCAGGTGATGGGTGCAAATTTGCCCATGGCAAGCACGAGCTACGCCCCGGCTCGGCCGCCAAGATCGGTCGGCCCTCCAAGGCCAAGCCTGGAACCGCTGGGTGATAGGTTGGTGGTTTGATATGGATTATCTATGGATTATCCCCATGGTTATTTGGATTACCTATGGATTATGATAATATATGGATTAACTATGATATATATATATATACTGCTTGGTGGTTTGGAACATGACTGGATTATGACTTTCCATTCAGTTGGGAATGTCATCATCCCGACTGACGAACTCCATCATTTTTCAGAGGGGCAGGTATACCACCAACCAGATATGATTTGATATGATTTTTGATACTTTTTGACATGATTGATAGTTGTTTTTTAAAAATGTGGGGGCATGATTTTATAATGATATCATAAATAATTGATACAGCTTTTAATGATTCCCTTATACCTCTTGTATGGTATATTTACCTACACTTGGGTGATTCTCAGGGCAAATGTCGGTAAATATTCCATACATGGAGCGTATGGGATTTGATGTGATTTTTTGATCTGATTTTTTGATCTGATTTTTTGATATTATTGGCATGTCTTTTTTTTTGTGATGGTATTATTTTATAATGATATCATACCGATGGTGAATTTATACAGCTTTTAATGATTGATAATTGATCGATATGTCACCAACAACCATGAGATATGACATCAATTATCTATATATATATATATGTTATATATATATGTTGGTTTATATGGGATATACACTACCATCTTTCCAACTGTACAAACATAACTACCATCTTTCCAACTGTAATTGTTTTATATATATATATATGTTGGTTTTTATGGGATATACACTACCATCTTTCCAACTGTAAAAACATAACTACCATCTTTCCAACTGTAATGATTGATATGTTTTTTTTGACTGGACAGATGTCGGTGAATTTGTAGCATATGTTAATATAGTTATTCATTTGCCATGAATTCTAGAGGTACCCAATTTTGACCCATACTCATGGAACTGGGATAAAGATGCGGATTTTTGATGAACTTTAACCAAAAAAATCAAACAACGATGATTTCATATTAATTTAGCTAAATTTTGATTGGTTAATTTGGCCTCATATGATTCATATATGTTAGTATATGTTTGTTTTTGAGTGATTCTTAGGATGTCATTACTATGTTACAGTGCTCATATTGAGCCCACAAAACTGGTGGACTTATACTAATGGGGATTTAACCCAAACTCGGGAACATGTTGATGAGTTAAACAGTATATATTTTTCAGCACATTTTAAGGGATATTGAGTATAGATATTGAAGTGCATTCAGCCAACAAAAAATTGTGCCTGTTTAAAAAACATCATTATGTTTATGAAAAAACCAAGCACACACAACATCAATTTTGCCGACAAAAATGCGAAATATGCTGATCATATTTTTATACTGTAATATATGTACATTAATGGGCATTTGCAAACGAACTAAACCAACAAAGCTATTGGGCTGTAAAGATGTAAAGTCTGTCATAGTGGTGATCATATGTTGAACCAATGATATGAGATCCAATTTTGTCCAAGAATAGAGGATGCCGCATACAGTGTGTGGTGATTGTTATTGGGAAACCAGCTTATATACATGGTATGCTATGTATGTCTGTGACATTCCGTGACTTCAACATAGTGAAGTATGGTTAAGTCCACACAATTATGAGTTATATTATATACATTTGCGTGCATAAGAATATGTTTTTTGAATATTTAGTTATCAATTATACATATATATATATATTTGAATTTGTATATATAAATATATAAATATGTGTGTGTGTGCACATTTTATCCTTCGTGCCATCATATATATACATATATACACATTATGTATATAATTATATAATATTTAACCACAGGGTTTCGGTACACTACGCCGGTCTTCTTGTAGCGTATTCTTTTCCTTGGGGTTCCCTCGGGCATCCTCGTCAGGCGGCGCGGGCCAAGGCGAATGAAGAGAAGCCAGATCCGACAGAGCTGCAGGTGTCGCAGATCTCTGCTTTGGTCATGGATTTCATGGGATTTCATGGGATTCTAATGGGATTTCGCCAAGAACACTTGTTATTTTTTGAGGAAATTTACCAATGGGGTGATCCAATGGCTAGTGAATTAGTATAATTTGCCCAGAGAATGGCAAGTAAGTGGGGATGGAACAAGATGAAAGACATGGGGGACTCCAGGCTTAAGTCTATTTTTATTATTTTTAGCATTGGCTATCCAATTATTTGGGTATCCAATTTTAACCCATGCCTAAGTAATGGTGTTATTAACGATAATACTTTAAGAATAATAAACAATAAGATAAATTTGAGAACGATGATTGACTATATATTTAGAATAATAACTATTGATGTTTATAGTCAATAATACATATAGTAATAGTTACTAACCATGATTATTAGGTCCCACCAATGGAATATCCCTATGATAATGATTTTGGGATATGTTGTGGTTAATAGTGGTTAAGAGTGGTTATATAAGACCTTACAGTGGTTATATGGTGGTTAATAATTGTTGGTCTTGCATCATGATGGTGCATCATGGCCAACAGGGGAAAACCGTCGTTCATCATGGCCACCGGGATATTTCATGCGTACCCTAAGGGGTGTCCTGAAACGTGGCAAGAACCCCCTATAGATGGAGGTTTATAGCTGGAAAAAACACATATAGATACATAAGCAATGATGTCCTTTACCATTGGTTGGTTGATTAATAGAGGGGTTTGTTTACCCCTTTAACAGCAGGTAAATGATGATAGATGGTATACCAAACCGGCCCCTCTATTTTTACCAAAAGGACATTATTGGATACATATACTATAGTTTTTTTGTTGACTTCCTGTAAGGAAACAATGTATCACAATAAAAATACACTTAGATTACGCATATCCAAACAATCAAATGGGGCTGCATTTATAGTGATTAAATATGGTTAAGTTATAGAGGCCCCATTTGATCTCACCATAGATCATGGGAATTGGATTGGGGACATCATGCCCAAAGCCTTGGGGAATGTTTGGGACATATGCTAATTTTCCTGGATACCCTCACCCAAGAAAAAAACACAATTTCTGCGGAACACATCTGGAAAGCCCAGCTTGCTCTGAGATCCCGGCTCTCGGATCTCAAGTAAACTTATGGAACTGGTCACAACCCTGCAATTACATAATTTGGAGGAACATCAAAATAGATTAAATAGATGGTACTGTATTTATGAATGTCCACCCCATCAAAGAGTATTTATGGTTATTGATCCATAGCCATACGGTAACGACATTTAAATATGTGGAGGGCGGGCCAGACCGCGAGGCCCCGGAGGTAGTATGAAATACAAATTCGTATATTTAAATGTAGTTACCGTATGTTTAAATGAATTGGATTCCGTATGTTTAAATGGCCGGGCGGGCCAAGGAAAACCTTCCCGGAAGTAGTCTAAAATGCCTGTTCGTATATATTTAAAAATCCATATATTTAAATGTAGTTACTGTATGGCAATTTTAAGGGACATTAGCCCACAGCGATTGGACGATTGGGTGTGGGTAGATCCATAGTCAGATGGGGTTTTGAACTAACTTGTAACCATGGGGTGGCCACATTGTAATATAATAAGCACATGGTTCGCAAATTCTGGGTGTAATTTTTCTTGAATTATCTCGACGCCTGATTGTTCTGCAGTTCTTTTCAGTCTCTTTCGTCGAATAATAGTCCTTGGAAAAATGCACCGGGCTTTGATTTTGGCTGAACTTCTTGAGCACGTTGACGACGGATAGAGACAGAGAGAGAGAGAGAGAAAGAGGTAAAAATAAAGTTGAGAAAAAATAAAGCATCAACATGTTTGGTCACGCTTGTGGCTCAAAAACGTTGACCGACCCAATTTCATTTGCTTTCCCTTCAAAATCTTCAAACACATTAGTAGTTAGTGAGTCAAAACTTGTTTGATTTGCTTCAAATCTCCGCCTAGTTTCATTCATATTATGGAAATCAACACCAAATATGTGGCCACCTCCAGCTTCCACAAGAAATGCCTGTTATTCCCCACCTGCCAGGTGAGGGTTGTTAGATTTTATGTCAGTTGCCTCCTCCTGCCTCGTCCTCCTCCTCCTCCTCTCCTCCTCGTCCTCCTCGTCCTCCTCGTCATCCTTGTCGTCCTTGTCGTCCTCGTCGTCCTCGTCGTCCTCGTCGTCCTCCTCGTCCTCCTGCTCAACTGCGACTCGCGATCCACAGTGTTCGCTGTCAACCACGGAGTGTTCCCTGCCGGACCTCAACCACGATCCACGCCCAGTCCCTGCCGGACCTCAACCACGCCATCCACGCCCAGTGTTCCCTGCCGGACCTCAACCACGACCATCCACGCCCAGTGTTCCCTGCCGGACCTCAACCACGACCATGCCCAGTGTTCCCTGCCGGACCTCAACCGCGAGTATCCACGCCAAGTGTTCCCTGCCGGACCTCATATAGGAAGATAAAATGTCAGATAGAGTGCCAGAAGATTTGCCAGGTAGAATGCCAGAAAATATGCCAGAAGATATGCCAGATAGATATGCCACAAGATATTCCAGAAGATATGCCAGATAGAATGCCAGATAGAATGCCAGATAGAATGCCAGAAGATATGTCAGAATATATGCCAGAAGATATGCCAGATAGAATGCCAGATAGAATGCCAGAAGATATGTCAGATAGAATGCCAGAAGATATGCAAGATAGAATGCCAGAAGATTTGCCAGATAGAATGCCAGAAGATATGCCAGATAGAATGCCAAATAGAATGTCAGAAGATATGTCAGATAGAATGCCAGAAGATGTGCCAGTAAGAACATGTATAAATGTCATGGTGGGGATCACACGAAGTAAAGTAATTGTTGTTATTTTTCCATCAGTTTTTTCGAACATCAAATGAATCCTCAAGTTGGGAAACAAACCCAGAAAATCCGTCCGAATCCCAAGGATTTGGACGGATTTGTTCCAACCCAGGCCCGAAGCTTTCAGTTGAAGCAGTCCCTGCACGACCAAGCAGCTCTGCGTCTGATGATGCAAAGCGCGGCCGGCACCGGGCCGGCCACCGCGGCCACGACAGCCACGGCGGCCACGGTCCCGAGTCCGGAGACGAAAGCGGAGAAGACCCCAGCAGCCCCAGCATTGGTTGGAGAGGTGAAGAAACCCAAGCCGCAGCAACTTGAAGTTGGAGTCATTGGGATGAGGATTTGGGGGGCTATTTCTTTACGGTTGAGACGGTTGAGATTGGATTTTCCCATGAAAAATATGAAAAACATCCATCGGAATCTACGGCGGAAAAGCGACCTGTGAATCCAAACTAGCCATGGGTCTAGGGCTAGTTGGGAGGCAGGAATGATGAATGTCCCTCAATGATCCTTAATGGGGAGCTAAGGAACCCATTTAGCTCCAAGAATCAAACGGTATTCAAACGGTGGCTTAGGTACGCTTAGGTTGTGAGGTTCATGGGGTGAGTCTTCAAAACTACGGTCGATTGATCAATGGGAAGTAAATCTGTTGCAAAACAAGGTCCCCACGGCTGTCTTCATGGTGGCATTGGGTTGTTTGCGAAAGAACCAACGCTGACAAAAAATATCACCAGCAAAGAATCAGTAGATCTGATTGTTGATCCAAAAATGGAAGAGAGATCCAAGCATATGGGCTAGATTTGGATAGATTTGGTATCCCAAATTCAACGCTCAGTCAGGGTGCCTAAAATTTAGGCACCCTGATGTAGAAACATCCGGGTGTCAGGGTGTTGGTTGTCATTTCAAAATTTCCTCAAGTTTCTACGGAGAGGGTTTCCTCTGAAATAGCACTGGTGTTTTCTTCCATGTTCGATCCATATTTGGAATGGCAGACTTACAAGGATCATGACTGCTGATATTCACGGTGTCTCCGCTACCAGAAATCTTGGTGCAAGGCAAATCTCTGGCATAGCTTTGCATGATCTAAGCGGCCTGTCTCACCACAAATGATGCTTCATGGGCGGAATCATCCCAACACTGTTTCCCTTCAGTATGTTTCAGTATATTTCACCACAGGAGGTGGAATCCTCAAACAATGCCCACCATTTCAGCTCAATGATTTGGGTTCATCTCAAAGTAGGATGTTAATTTCGATATTTTGGACGAACACACCAGGCGCTTCCTTTGTTGCTCAAATCGTCCAAGAATTCCGTTGTTGAAGTGGTTCAACCAGTTAAACCGTGTTGAACCATGTTGAACCATGTCAAGCCACCAAGTAACGTGAGTCAGTGGATTCAAGGAAGAACTCACGGCTGAGATTCAGTTTCCCACAAGATCTACGGCCCGCAAGGCAACCTGACACGTTGAAAGCGGTGAGCCCAAGTTTGGACTTGGAGAAACCGACGCTGGGCAGACAAGCGAAGGGTTCGGCTCTGGGTTTTTTTGTCGGAACAAAGGGGTGTTGTTGTCGTGGTGGTGGTCGTGGTCGTGGTCGTGGTGGTGGTGGTCGTGGTGGTGGTCGTGATGGTGGTCGTGGTGGTGGTCGTTGGTGGTCGTGGTGGTGCGTCGTGGTGGTGGTCGTGGTCGTGGTCGTGGTCGGTGGTCGGTCGTGGTCGTGTCGTGGTGGTCGTGGTCGTCGTTCGTCGTCGTCGTGGTCGTCGTGGTCGTCGTCGTCGTGGTCGTCGTCGTCGTCGTGGTGGTGGTGGTTGTTGTGGTGGTGGTCGTCGTGGTGGTGGTGGTGGTGGTTGTGTTGGTGGTTGTGGTTGTGGTTGTGGTTGTGGTTGTGGTTGTTGTTGTTGTTGTTGTTGTTGTTGTTGTTGTTGTTGTTGTTGTTGCTGTTGCCGTTGCCGTTGCCGTTGCCGTTGCTGCTGCTGCTGCTGTTGTTGTTGTTGTTTTGGTGGGTGGCGGGGGCGTACTGGTGTGCCACAAGTATCTCGTGTAAATTTGTTACATGTGCATTGATTATTTTTTTATTGTATACTGTATATAATATACGATATGCATGCACACTAACCAGCTCAAAAGAACAGTGTTTTTCTGGTGTGTAAGAATGGCGGCCTGGCCTTGGATCAGCTAGTAGGATCCAGCAGATCCAAGGCCAACCCCGGATTATTGGGTACCTTTCCATATAGTGATCATATGATACTTAGTTGGTACCCCCCAATGAAACAGCCGTTTGGGGTTTATTAAAAAAAACATGTTGACATTACAAGGGTTGCAAGCCAATAAGAACTCAATGCAAACCCTTCAGGCCTTATTTCTGTTGTTCCAAGGTCTGCCAGTGGGTTGGAATTGCCTTATGTTTTGCTGTTCTCATGTGGTATCGTCCACCCCAGCAGCCCAGATCATATAGACTGGCCATTGAACCAAGGATAGCTATGTGTAGTTGGTCACCCCACATGCCTTGCCCATGACGCAATTGCTCACCGACATGACATGGTGCCACAGAACTTGAGTTGAGTCCTGAAATGGTTGGAGTGTACCTCCACACTGCATGATGTTTGGCCGCTCAAACAATCATCGTTCAGCCGACAAACCACTTGGGAAGGTGCCAAGGGCGGACACCAGTGACCGCTGGTGTTGTTCGGTGGGGCCGGGGAACAGATCCACAACAAACAGATGCGATTGTTTTTTGTCTCAAGTCGTTCATGTACCTTTTTATGATTCACTTGTTTCAACTTGTTTCTCACAGTTTTTTTTTAGTAAGAAGTGACACAGGCAACGTAATAGGTATATATATATATATACACACATTACATGATTATGTATGTAACATTGTATGTATTTGCATAAGTAGCAGGTAAACTGGTATGTGTTCAAGTATCTTTCGGCAGGTTCGTGTATTTGTCATTGTCATGCGTGTTTTGTGGAGATATGTAGATATGTGAACATATTTATCAAAATTGATTGGTGTTTTCGCGGATACGGCATAATTTCGTAGTGCGTTCAAAGTATGTAATATAATATGTTATATATATAAAAATATTTGTGCACACATGTGTGCATAATATATGCATAAGTTGTTGATTATAGACTTTGTTTTTAAGGGCATTTAAAAGGTGGTTAGTTGATGTTAGTTGGCATTGTATGAATCTATTGGAGTCACCCTGTGCACCGAGAAGAATCCTAGAGATTTGCTCATGGGAAGGACGCAATCCGAAAGTGTGAAAATCCAGATCTGAGCTTCTGTATGTTACTGTATCTAAAACCAAGATGGATATGGATATGGCATGATCTGGGCATTTCAAGCCCACCATTTCTCGTTGTTTCCCCAGTGCCGTAGTGCCGTCAACGGCTCCACTCCCAACGTCGTTTGAGGCGTCGAAGGCGCCAGCGCCGCTTTCAGCCGCGGCACGTCGCTGGCCAGTGACGCGGAGATGCCCTTTGCACCCCAGGTGTCGGCGCAGAGCGCAGGCAGCCCCGTGAGTACCATCCGCGAGCTTCCAGAGTTGAAGGAGGCCATCATGGTGCAGGCCAAGGGATGGAAAATATGGTAAAATTCCGGGCTGGCGACCGAAAATCCCCAGATTTCTCCAGGATTTGTTCAGCGATGATGGATTTTTTTACCGGTAGAGGCTAGCAACTATTTGATGTGTTGAGTCGATGTTTGAGTTTTAACATCTTTGAAGTATCAACGATGATGGGGATATATAAGTGGATGGTTGATGATGATCTTGGAATTTGCTGAGTCGATGAAACTTGGCGTTTCCCCGATGGGAAATCCACTTGGGGAATCTATGAAGGGAATCGATAACGGGAATGCCATCATGGTCGATGGGCGAAGATACAGTGAATAGTTCCAATATGTTCCAATATCATCCATATCCAATCTTACATCAGGAAATCCAGCAGGGTATTCAACATTGTTTGGTTGATTGTGATTCGGGAGTTCGAGCATTTATTGTTTTTACCATGCAAGATGCTTAAAAGGGATGGTTGGTTGAGATGGCTAATTATTTAATATTTCTTGGATCGATGGTTGGAGATTGGTTCGTGAAGATCCCGAAAGTTTCGTGAACGGCGCAGACCTTGGGAGAAACTGGTGAGATTTGTTGCATTGTGTGTGGATATGTAGGTGGATTCGTGCCCAGTTGTGTTATGTCATGATTCCGAATACAACACCACACAATATAATCAGTGTGTCCCCACTAGTTTCTTTAAACACAACCTTAAACATATAATGATCCGGTTTCAACACTGTGCAGATATTGCATTACATTCTATTACCATACCGCGGTTCATGATGTTGTCAGTTGTTGTTTTTTTCCGCCACATCTTGGAAGTGGACGTCCGTGAAGCCTGGCAGGTGAAGAATACCTTTATTGAGGTCAGCGACAGTGACAACGACAAGGAGCAAGAGTTTAAAGAAGGTACCTTGCTGTCGCGGGGATTGGGTTGTGCATTGATCGAAGGAAGTTTAGAAGCTATACTTCCGACAATATGGACAGTTGAAAAGCAGAGGTGAGAAGAGTCAGAAGAGAAAAGATCAGAAGAAAGAAGATGTAGATGCGCGAAAAGATAGGAAAGTCGCGATTCACTGTGTTTTTCCAATGATTTGTGGCTCCGGAGGGTCGAAAAGTAGGCTCGCTAAAGCGGCGGGTGCGGAGCCAGCTGGCCAGATGAGAGAGGAAAAATTGCACGCCGTTGTGGCGCGAAGCACATTTCCAAGTGAAAAGTGACAAAACACCAGAGGAGCGGACCACTTTTGGAAGTTGAGATGTCGAAAAAGTGCACGCCGTTGTGGCGCGAAGCACATTTCCAAGTCAAAATGTACAAAACACACCATGTCGGACCACTTTTGGAAGTTGCGATGTCGAAAAAGTGCACGCCGTTGTGGCGCGAAGCACATTTCCAAGTCAAAATGTACAAAACACACCATTCTCGGAGCACTTTTGGAAGTTGAGATGTCGAAAAAGTGCACGCCGCTGTGGCGCGAAGCACATTTTGAAGTCAAAAGTGTTAAAAACTGACGAAGTCAAAAGTGTTAAAAACTGACGGTCTCGGACCACTTTTGGAGCTTCGGATGTCGAAAAAGTGTCGAAAAAGTGCACGCCGTTGTGGCGCGAAGCACATTTCGAAGTCAAAAGTGTAAAGAACTGAGGGTTTTGAGCCTTTTTTTGACGTGAAGATGTTGAAAAAGTAGACACTGATTAACTTAACTAACTTCACGAACTTAACTACCTTAACTTCGACGACAACAGCAACAGCAACAGCAACAGCAACAACAACAACAACAACAAACAACCAACAACAACAACAACAACACCAACCACAACCACAACAACAACAACACCAACCACAGCAACTACAACAACTACAACAACTACAACTACAACCTCAACTACAACTACAACTACACAACAACTACAACTAGAACTACAACTACAACAGCTACAGCTACAGCTACTACAACAACAACAACAACTACTACTACTACTACTACTACTGCAACAACAACAACTACAACAACAACAACTACAACAGCTACAACAACAACAACAACTACTACTACTACTACACTACACAACAACTACAACCACACAACAACTACAGCTACAACTAAAACAACAACTACAACTACAACAACTACAACTACAACTACAAAACAACTACATCTACAACTATATGACTGCAACTACACTACACTAATTACATTACACCACAACTACAACTCCACTACGCTACAACTACAACTACTGTTGCAGTACATCACACTACATCCAGCAGTTGTGGGTGAGGTGACCACTGCAACCATTGCAACCATTCCAGCAAACACAACTCCAACCACCTTTCGGTCAATCAGTGGATTCGCCCTGCCATTCGCGATTCACAACAACCAACGTCTCCTATAGGTTTCCTATTCTGAAACTTCCGCCACCGCCTTGTGCGGTACTACTGGTACCTTGAAAATAAAGTTAAATAGTTAAGTCTTAAGTAAATAGTTGTTGTTTTTTGGGGGGGTGGTGTTTGAATTTCTCTTGTTGTGCAATTTGCGGGGATCCTAGCCAAGGGCCAAAGGAGATGATACTGAGATGCTAAAAAACAATGTCTAGCAGTCTAGCATCATAGGAATGCATTCTTTTATACGGGATATTCCATTACAAAAAAAGCAACACATAGACTGAGACCTAGCATAGTGCTAGATACCTCCAACAGTTGTTTTACAATGTGTTTTCCTTTGATTTGTGGTGATGTTTTTCCAGATTTGCAGCTTAAGAGCTTCTCCTTCGTACTCGCTTTCTTGGTGATGGACATGGTCACTTATTTCTTCATGTGTAGACAATTTTCAGCAAGGTCTCGCAACATACTTGCAAACTTATCTCCGAACCTTTCATAGATAAGGAGCCTCCCTCAAAAGCCTCCAGACGCATTTAGCAGTGGACAATATCATGCTGAAAGGTTTCTCCCGTGTTTGCAGAGCTGTGCGGTGTCTATTTGACCAAGAGAGTTTGCTCAAGAAGGAGCCAAAGCAAACCAACAAGTTGGAGCACGGCCTTTAGAAGGCCGTGCTGTTTCGTGCACATCGGCGGGTTGGGGTGGGGTGGGAATGTATTAACGTTCATGTGAACTTGCGGAGGAAGTACATTCTTCTCGGTGGATTCTAATAAGTACATTAATGCACGGGGTGGGGTGGGGTGGGGTGGGGTGGGGTGGGGCATGTATTAACATTCAGGCTACGTCATGCTATGCTCGTGTAAGTTCTCTGGATCATTTCATTTACACGTCATGCTAGGCTCGTGTAACTTATACGTCATGCTACGCTCGCATACGCTCGTGTAAGTTCTCTGGTACTTTCATCTGATACGTCATCCTACGCTCGTGAAAGTTCTCTGGTACTTTTTGTGATACGTCATGCTATGCTCGTGTAAGTTCTCTGGTGCTTGTCACTGATACGTCATGCTTCGCTCGTGTATGTTCTCTGGTACTTTTCCATGATACGTCATGCTACGCTCGTGTAAGTTCTCTTGGTACTTTTCAAGGATACGTCATGCTACGCTCGTGTATGTTCTCTGGTACTTTTCTATGATACGTCATGCTACGCTCGTGAAAGTTCTCTGGTACTTTTTTTGATACGTCATGCTATGCTCGTGTAAGTTCTCTGGTGCTTGTCACTGATACGTCATGCTTCGCTCGTGTATGTTCTCTGGTACTTTTCCATGATACGTCATGCTACGCTCGTGTAAGTTCTCTGGTACTTTTCAAGGATACGTCATGCTACGCTCGTGTAAGTTCTCTGGTACTTTCATCTGATACGTCATCCTACGCTCGTGAAAGTTCTCTGGTACTTTTTGTGATACGTCATGCTATGCTCGTGTAAGTTCTCTGGTGCTTGTCACTGATACGTCATGCTTCGCTCGTGTATGTTCTCTGGTACTTTTCCATGATACGTCATGCTACGCTCGTGTAAGTTCTCTGGTACTTTTCAAGGATACGTCACGCTACGCTCGTGTAAGTTCTCTGGTACTTTCATCTGATACGTCATCCTACGCTCGTGAAAGTTCTCTGGTACTTTTTGTGATACGTCATGCTATGCTCGTGTATGTTCTCTGGTACTTTTCCATGATACGTCATGCTACGCTCGTGTAAGTTCTCTGGTACTTTTCAAGGATACGTCATGCTACGCTCGTGTATGTTCTCTGGTACTTTTCTATGATACGTCATGCTACGCTCGTGTAAGTTCTCTGGTACTTTTCTATGATACGTCATGCTACGCTCGTGTAAGTTCTCTGGACTTGTCCACGTATAGGAATTAGATATTTACCTGCTCACATGGTCTTGAAACACAAAGACCGTGGGCATTCAACGATGCACCCGTCAGTAACACAATATGTGTTCATGTGGTGCTGGCGCTGCACCTTGGACACTCCAGATCCCCAACGGTTCCTGGAAGAACTCGAACAGTTGCTGTGAGAAAAAAAACAGCAGATGTCAGCTGGAATCTTGGGCAAAGTGTCAACAACACAAAAAATTGTGTTTTCGCCTAAGCGAAATGATTGTTTTTGATTTTATGCACCAGAATAAGGGGTCTATGGCCTTTAAAATCATATCACACCATCACAGGTCGAATTAGTTGGGGAGTTCTGAGAAACATCAAAAATGATAGTTTCGCCTAGGCGAAATGCTTGTTCTTGATTTTATGCACCAGAATAAGGGGTTTCTGGCCTTCAAAATCACATCAAACAAAATCCTATTGGCACGACCACATCAAACGTCATCCATGACATCCCGTCGATCACAAAAACACCACGGCCTTCTAAAGGCCGTGTTCCTAGTTTGACAGCAGGAACTCATGATTCAAGGCAATTCATGGACTTCTTGATTTCTCGGCACAGCGATACTCAAGTCTGAAGTCTGGAGCAGATAGAACTAGAACAGCATAATACAAAAACCATATAATATAAAGAACCATACAAAGCCTCACAATCTTCCTGGGGGAGGGTCCAATTCAAGATGGATTTTCTTCATTCTGGGAGAAACCAAATCAAATGATGACACACACACACGCATATATATATATATATATATATATGGATATATGTGTATATATGAATTCATATTTGCGTTTTGTTGCATATGGAATGATCGACTAGATAGATGATATGTAAATACATACGTAGATACATAGATACATAGATACATAGATAGATACATAGATAGATACGTAGATAGATAGATACATACATACATGCATACATACATGCATGCATCCATACATCCATACATCCATACATCCATACATCCATACATCCATACATTCATACATTCATACATTCATACATTCATACATGCATACATGCATACATGCATGCACATATATATATACATAGGATGGATTAGATAAATTAGATGAGTCAAATAGGTTGGATAGATTCAATAGGTTAGATAATTAGACAAATAGACAGAAAGGACAAGAATAGATAGATTTGATATAAATATAAATATATATATATTCATTCGATATAGATACAGGTAGACATAGATAACGAGATTGTATAGAGACATAACGATATATCGATATCAACCGGTAGACACTCGAAATTCTATGGCCATAAATCACCCATTTCTCAACAATGGCCCTTTTAAAGCACCCCCCCCCCGTTGACACGCCGAGGACTTCGTCGTTCGCAGTCCATGCCGCTTTTTTAGGACCCCAGTCACCAGACAGCAGGCGGATCAGCATCCTCCGATGGAGGTTTTGGCCGAGGTCGTTTTCACGATACCACTGTTTTGATGTATTTTCTTGAGTATGTGTATAATTGGCACATATGCAACACACACACATACGTATATATCATTTGTATATGTATATATATGTATATATATATATGATGTATATATATATATGTGTGTGTGTATGATATCTACATATATATATTATGTATGATATATGCGTGTATACATGCAACTCAAAATTGTGCACCATGATTCACCTTGATTGACCATGATTCCCCATCAAACACGTATGTTTTTTTTCCCGGTCGTATCATGTTGTATCCATACTGTATCTATATATATATATATTGATATCATTTTTTTTTATGCTGGGGGGGAAAAATCGCCCGTGTAGTGATGTTGATTTGTGAGTTGTCGTGTTTGGGGTGGTGTGGGGCGGGGTTATAACGTTCATTTGCACCTGCACACATAGGTCATGCTGCGCTACAGACATCTACAGACCTTCTTCTGTTGCACTTGCTCACATACGTCATGCTGCGCTACAGATGTCTTCTGTTGCAATTGCGCACACACACACACGTCGTGCTTCGTTACAGAAGTCTTCTGCTGTACCTGCGCACCCGCACGTCATGCTATGCTGCAGACATCTTTTGTTGCCCTTACCCGCATACGTCATGCTACGCTAAAGACGTTTTCTATCGTTTTCTCCCTGCACTTGCGCACATACGTCATGACGCTTCAGAGGTCTTTTGTTGCCGCACGCACGTCATGCTACGCTAGAGACGTCTTCTGTCGCACCTGCGCACACATACATGATGCTACACTACAAACGTCTTCTGTTGAACTTACGCACGCTTGCCCCATCAACATGTGTAAAAACATGTTGAAGACGACAACGCAGGCAGTACGCCAGGCGCTGCATGACTAAACGGTCGCAATTTCAAACGGTAGGCGTGGGAAAATGAACAATGGGCACGCTTTGCAGCTGGCCAAACCAAAAAAAAACATTTCAACGAAAAAAACAATGGAGTTGGCAAACAATCAGACAACAAAAACAATAAAAGTGCGCAGAAACCTCAAGGTGGACAGACTTCCTATCTTACATTTTGTGGAAAATAACCACGCCGCCATGCGCGGTTTCCGGCACGTTAGTTTGTTTATGATATTTTTATGCAGATTTCTTTATGCTGGTCCGCGCGGGGTGTATCTCGGTGAATGTTTATCCAGCATGAGCTGGGGCTCCATGAAGAGAATTCGTTTTGCATTTGGTGGGCAAGAGGGTTTCAGAATAGAACTGGGGAACTTGCTTACGGACGAATTTGGCCGACTGGTGAAGGAAAGTTGAAAACTGAAAAGATTTGTTTGCCGGTGTGATGGGGGGAAGAAAGAAAAGGGACCCATCAAGCCCTGTCAAACCTTGTCAAGCCGCGTTTTTGGAAGTTACAGGATGCACCAGGTAAAATGACTAACCTTAATATATAATAATAATAATAATAGTAATAATAGTAATAAGAATAAGAATAATAATAATATATATATATACCCTTTGGTTATTTAACATAGCCTGGTATAGATGGTCCATTTATAGATGGTTTACCTATTAAAAATTGTGATTTTCCATGGCTATGTTAAATAACCAAAGGGTATATATATATATTATATTTAGTAAATCATCTAAAAATTGGCCTCCATACCATAGCTGTATAACAAAATTCCAAAGGGCATCTTGGGAGCCAGACAGGTTGGAGCTCCATTTGGATCCAAAGGATTCTTCAAAAATCGGAGGGTGGAGTAAAGTTTCCCCCTGGGTATTTGATGATGATGAAGTCCTTTATTTTTGATGGGTTGAAATTGTATGAAATTGTATGTTTGATGTTTGGTGTTCGAATCCAGCAATATCCAGCTATTTGATGGTGAAATGACCATGTTTCATGTTTGAACGCAATTTTTCATGATTAAAACTTGTGTTCATGATGCGTCCAACAGCAACTTGGCAGTCGTCCATCGTTCGTCCATGCGAGCCTTCAGAGAAACTCCTAAAATGCCATATCCGGCAGCGGCAAACAGCACCGGAATCATCCACGCAGTAAAATTTGGTGGCCAAGAACAACTACTAAGAACAATATGTTTGGCAGTTTTCTGGTAATGTCTAGATTTAAGGGCGTCTAAGATTCGGCATCGTTTGTTGGAGAGACAGATGGGACCCGCAATTCAAAATTCCAACATCCAACGAAATAGACATGTCTTGGTTCTGTTTTGGGAAAGAAGTAGTTTGGGTATGTTGAACGGTGCATGGATTAGACGGGCTGACATGTGATGGTTTGATGTATATTCACTTGCACAGTGCTATTGCCCAGCTGCACGCTTCACAATCATCCGGCAGTAGATAGAAAAACATAATGCGACCTAAAAGGTTTGGGTGGACAAATCATAGATCTTGGACGCAGTATCAAGAGCAGGTGTTGTTGTGTTCCTCCGTCATCCATTTTGTATTATCAACCAATCATTTGGAGGTCATTTTACATACAAAATAATTTTACACCATCCCCTTACTAGAGGTAAACCGGTATACCGTTGACAAGACAAACATCCTCAATTTGGGTTTTACTAATAAGGATATGATGGAATATAATCAATAACAAACCCAAATTGGGGATGGATTGCTTCAAAAAAAGGCCTTACTACCGTATAACATGTTCATTCCAAGTATTTCCAAGTTTCATCCATTTTCTACCTACTCCAGGATGCTTGCAGTAGATCAGCGTCTTTTAAAATCGGCAGCTGTGGTGGCCCACTTGGACCCATCCAAGTGGCGCCCAAACGGACAGCGCCAGCGTAAAAGTTTTTGAGCCCATGCCAAGGGCCTCCGTTCAGAACATCTGGAAGGGAAGCGTAGTAGGAAGCTGTGTGACTCTGAAGCCCATGACACACATCGAATGGTGCTGGTGAAGAGTTTGCAAAAAACATCGTCCTGCGAATTTGCCATTATATTTTGCTGACGCTACCCTCTGTTTTTTTTCTCACAGAGCTATTGAACATTGCCATTTATAGCTGATTTACCAATTAAACAGGATTAATGTTGGATACCGATTAGTGTAATGTTTGCTGGCCGGGGGAAAAGAACTCAACTGTGAGAAGTGTTTTCTCAGATCCATGTTTTTTTCAGGAGGAGCTTTACCACCTTTATACACCTTTCTCTGGGTAAAGCTGGTCCATTTACTTTAGAAAACCATATCCATGTTAGATGACTTATTAAAACGTTATTTAAAAGACAGCACCCAAACCATTTTTCAAGGGGGTACCCCATGAGTGACCCAGATCCTCAATAATGTAATTGTTTGGATGGTACCCTATTGTGCACAAACACTTTTGGGGCATGTTTTTTTAAAGATTTAAAAGGGAAATCAATTGAAAGTAGATTCAAATGAATTGAAATCCGCTATTATTAATATATTTTTTGAGGTTTAAGAGGAAAACCAATTGAAATTAGATTGATGTCAATTGAAATCCTTACTGTAAGTTGATCATCCTGAATCTCCCAGGACTGGTTCCCAAGAAAATGCCGAGTTATTTAGAGTAGACTAAAATGGGGTTGAGGGGGGAGTTTTATTGAGGGGGGAGGGGTGGGCCCCCTTTAACAAAATCAGTATCCAACAGCTATTTTTCATAGCTATGTTAGTTTGCCAGAGGTTATTGTTTGCTTTTCCTCTTCGACAAAAGGCGTTCAACTGGACCATCCTGTCATGGGCATGCCTCGATCCTTCTTGTCATAGCTCCTGTGAGCAAGGGGATCTCTGGCTGGTAGGATGTTTTCAAAGTGCCATCCACCCGGGATTCTCATGATATCAATGATGACTAATGGCTGGAATATATTACCCATAGGATCCATGTATGGTATATATGCTAACATTGGGGGTATATTGATGGTAAATGTTACCATATATAGCATACATGGATCCTATGGGTTATAGAATATGACATGATATAACCTGGGGATGGCAAAAAATCACCACCAGTCAGTAGAGATCTGCCGCAATAAAAACAACCACGACGACATTTCAGGTAGCTCGGGGATGTCCCCGGCGCACCGGCCAAGCGGCTGGTGTGGCAGGGTCAACGAGCGATGACGTCTACTGATGTCTACGGGATAGCGTAGGTTATCTGGAGAAATGCGGGAAACCAAAGTCCTTCCTGGTCCTTCCTTATCAAAATAATGGTGAAATAATATGTATGTGTTTTTCTCATCGATTTCTGGATTTCTGGATGGGATATCCATGGATATCCATGGATATCCTCTATCTGGACCCCTATTTCCAGACAGAAATATATATATATATAGATAGATAGATTTTTGTTCCCCAAAACACTAAGTTCGGATGTAGGGAACCGACACCATTATCATGACGCCATTCAGTTCTGTCTGGTTGTTTGGGGTTCTAGGCGGTTGTTTTTAGTGTATCAAATCTATGAAAAAATGGTTGTTTTGTAATTTTCCAACTGCAGCAGCCAGTGGGATGAAGCTTTTGGAGTCTTTTTTGGAAAAAGCCGGGTAAAGCTGTGTGAAAGGTTGGTGGATTTTTTGATGTTGCCATTTTTTTTCGATGAATCATATAGGACTGTACCATGGTGTTGTTTCTTCTGAGGTGAATCTAAGTCTCCCTACCTGAAGAACAGATATTTAAGGCTTTAAGGTTGTGTAAAGGGCTTGTCGAGCCTTAAAGGCTCGCGCCACTCCAATTCGCAGGCAGTCTGCCAGCGGTCGAACGGGGCCAGAAGTTTCAAGGGCAGAAATCTACAGAAAGCTGGTGGGCTCACGGCGAGACTGCCGAGCCCCAACATTGGGATGGGTAGTTTAATCCTTTGACCAATGCCGATCCGATACACGGTTGAATCAATGCTGATCCTTTCACCGGCAAACCCCCAGCTTTCTTCAAGGGCCGTTTATCAAAGATGCAGGCCCAACATGACATGGGCGGATGCCATGAAAATCAGATGCCATGAACTGACCTATTTGGACCAACGTGGTGAGA